AAATAGATTGGTTGAGAAGGTTTGTTCATTTGCCCAATTTGCCTGGTATGAATTTCAGAACTTAATGATGAATGTAACTAGCCTTATTTTTCTATTAATAGGTGGATGATGAATCTGAAATTATGGAGGATGGCCCATTGGCGCCCCAGTCACGACGAAGGCTAATCCTGACAACTCAGCTGATGCATCAACTTATTCCAGCAGCACCAGCTGTGCTGTTTAAAGGAGATGCAACTTCTGCTTATGAAAGTGTGATATTCTCTGTTGCCAAATCGGCACTTTCTGACGCATGCAACCTAATCTCTTCCTCAGAAAGCAATTTGCATGTGCTGTTGGGAAAGGAAAATATGTAAGGATTGCCCATGAATTTCTTCAAGAAAATTATGTTTCATTAAATATCAGATTTTTTCTCTTTAGCTTTTAAGTAGAGGATGCTACTTTTCTGCCTTTTACGGGTGGGAAATATCATGCGGGTGCATACTGTTCCCTACAATTAAATTGTTTCTTACAATAAAATCTTCAATACTATCCTCTAAATCAAATATCTTTTCCACCTTAACACTATAGGATTTCTGGAGAGCTTAAGATTTCCAAGAAGGTGGAGGATGATACTTTTTCAAAACTCATGGAAGATTTTGTTGGTAGATCTAAGAAACTTGAATCTGAATTCTCAAGGTACGAGCAGTATTTGGTTATTTTTCGTGGAGGATCTTTCTTTTGCCTTTACCCTTGTTTGACTCATTCTTTATTGTTTGATTTCACTCTGCACGAAGTGCTAACGATGTGATATTCAACAGGGATGTGTCGATTGTTGAGGTCACAATATATATATTTATTACATGCTTGTGATCCTTTTTGAATTTATTACCATCCTAGCACTCGACACATTCAGATGCATGACTTTGTTTAAAGGTACTATTGGGGGCCATGGCTGTTTAAAGGTTTTAACTCTTTTATATTTCCATATATCCGGATAAAAATTACCATTGAAAGCAGGTGTACATTTCTGTGAATTTTTTCCCTGAATCAGCCTTTTAAAAAAAAAAAAATTTCCACACTAGCCTCAGACAAATATTTTTACAACTGGCTTCCTTGGTGTCCTTTTTTCTTCGCACTGTAAGCTAGTTACAGATGGCTACACAAATACATTTGGTTGGAAGATAGTATCTGCTGAGATCAAAACTTGAAAGTTAAAGAACATAAAACTTAGGGAGGTTGGATATATAATTGTCTTGAGGGTCTAATTAACAAATCAATTAAACTTAGAACCCATTATTAATCTCAGCAAAATTAGTTATTTTTTCATCCACAACCACAAGGCGATCTGTTTATTTTGGAGAATTGCTTGGCCTGCCTATATCACCATTAGCCAACTTTCCTCTTAAGAAATAATGACTTAAGATTTCCAGTTTGCTAGTGCAGTTACTAGGATCTCCCAGTAGCACTAGTCATATAGCTTCCCTCGGATGGGCATTTTGCTACAAGTTTCTTCCATGAGCAGTATTCTACATTATTTAAATTATCTTTAATATCTACATGGCATTTATCATTGAAGATATTCTACAGATAGCAGTTCATTAGTGAGGCTTTTGTGTGGAGATGTGACAAGGATCAATGAACTTTTCTGTGTACTACTCTAGCAGTTTATTAGGAAAAGACTGCTGCTGTCATTAGTGGTTCTTTTCTGTGCAACAGCTAACTTCAATAGGAGCTATCGCAGGCTACTCACCAATTGCCACCAGCGGTGCTAGTTGTTTCTGCTATAAGCTGATCACAGAATCTTGAAGTTTGATATTCTTTTGGATGTCACATGTATGATCTGAAAGAAACTTGATGTAGCCGAATTTGAGAATATAAAGTGAATGTTCATTATTAAAACAGGCTGACACATATCTAGATTCAAATTCGAGACGGTGGACACATAATGAAGAAGTCAAAATACCAGCACAGTAGATGAAGAGAATTTTCCTAGGCACATAAATTTAAGATGAGCAGGCTTCTTCCTCAACTCTAGGTGCTGCAAATGTTGTTCCTTATGTCACATAAATTTAAGATGAGCAGGCTTCTTCCTCAACTCTAGGTGCTGCAAATGTTGTTCCTTATGTAGTTTAGATGGATTATTGGTCTGTGTAGAAGTTCAGATATCCTTTTGGGTAGCCATTCCACGTCAGCAGTGACAATTGCAGACCCCTTGCCTGAATGAGCCTTTAATGGCTAGTACTCGCATTTTAAGAAAAATAACTTGATGGGATAGGTTGGTTTTATACCAATGGGATAACTGCCATGGGGGCTCACAGTTTCCTTAGGTATGGAACAGCCACCATCATTAGCAGTTATCTCATTAACTTTCTACATCTGATTATAAGAAAGCCAACTATAGCCTCAATCAGGAACTGCTATTACCACTAGTTGTTTTCCACACATAAACCGCTAATGTCAATAGTGGTTTGTCTCAGTTATAACTGTTATAGTCAATAGTAGTTTGTGGCCCAGCATGGCAAGAAGGTCCAATGAGGCAAATTGGGAAAATATTTTAGTCATGATAATCAATGTATATTTTTCATTTACTCTATTATTCATTTTGAGAGACTGGTCATCAAATATTATGAACATTGCAAATTTGGGAAACCTTTATTTTTCAACTTTCATATTCTTGGAAGAGGAGACACTATTCTTTGTTAGTCTTTTTGGGTCTGAAAATTCTTTGCCCAAAGGTGAGGTTTTAGTGAGAAACAGGAGAGTTGTATGCTTGACACTGCACAATTGAATGTCCTTATGAAATGCTTAATGAAACTTAATGATTGTCTTCAGCTGTTAGAATGGTTGTTTTTATTGTATCTATTTGTCACAACTCTGCTAAATGCTTTCCCCTGCATTTTGGTTTTTATTGTCTTCAGCTGTTAGAATGGTTGTTTTTATTGTAGCTTAGAATTTTGGTATTGCATTTAAATATTTCCTCTGCATTTTCTCCATTTAATATGGAAAAACTTGGATTGGTCAGATTGCCCTTTTGGATTTATTATTCCCTTGGAAGCTATCTTAATAGTAAAATATTTCCTAGCCATATAATGTACTTGATCTTTCTATTTTCATTTGATTTATATATTTCAGGTTGGAGAAGAGGGCCTCGATATTAGATGTACGACTGGAGTGCCAGGAACTGGAGAATTTCTCCATCGTCAATCAGTTAGGCAAGTTTCATGGTCGGACTCGTGCAGATGGCACTGAGGTTTCTTCCACTTCTCAAACAGCCCATCGCAAACTCTTTCCACAGCGATACATAACCGCACTCCCAGCTACTGGAAATTTTCCTGAGGGGGTTCTCTGTCTCTCACTCTAGATCATTTATCGATTGATTTTTTTCCTTTTAAAATGCCTATGATCACCATCAACCTTGATGTTATTCAATGCCCCCCTAAAAAAAAAACAAAAAGAAAAGATAGAGAGAGAGAGAGAGAGAGAGAGAGAATACATCTTTCATGATAAGAAACATACTTGAACATGAATCAGAGGGGGCTATTCTGTCAATTGTAAGACAAAACAACCTCACGGGGTGCTGATCTTTGAAATGAGCACCCTTGGTGGTGGTTCCTTTCTTTCAATCTGAAGTATATAGGCCTTTGTATATCAATTAAGATCTAGAAGGTTAGGCGCTTGCATCATTTTTTTTCTAACAAATGGAGAGTATTATTAGCATGGTTACATATGTTTTAACTCGAGTAATAAACTTCTTTTCCCCACCAACAACATCATCACTACTGGCCTTGGCAGGTAAAGCCTCAGTTGAGCCTGTAATTTCTCATACTAAGTTCCTAGTGGTTAGGACAGACAATGTACTTGAATGGAATGATGAGCATTTTAAATGAAGTGTATGTATGTTCGCTCAAAATTTATGTTGTGCAACAATTTGTAGACTGAATCAAGCAACTCTGCCTTGGTGGTAAATCTTAATGGCAATGAGTGGGGCTCCGCTATCGTAGACTGAATCAAGCAATTCTGCCTTGAGCCTAATTAGCAACCTATGTTCTCAAATCCAACTGAGTTGGGTTCCTACTTCTTTAACTGAACATATTTTAAATACGATCAGTATCTTAATTTGACCAAAAAGAGTCGATTTCTATACGTACTGGTTTCAAATCCGATTAAAAGATATCGTAATCCGGTAATCCGGTTGGTGCAAACTTATATAGTTAGCTTTTGCGTTGATCTATCCTGTATCAAAACCCATTGGAACTGACATAAGAAGGTCACAATAGTGCTAATTACATATTAGATCTCTTAAGCCTATGGTAAAAGCATGAAAATGATGAAAAAAAATAATTTTAATATCTTAATTATATTTTCAATGGTGGTAAATAATAACATCGTTGAAGACTATGAGTGACTGTTGTAAATGAGGGAGAATGACGATGAGAGATGAGAAAGAAAACAACGTAGATGTTAATGCTTTACATCTACATTAGCATCACTTGGTAACTGGGTCAACGTCCACGCAAATGCAAAGCAATGAAAGAGTCACTCAGTATTTACATCAATGCCAACACAAATGCAAAACGACATCATCCTTCCTCACATCATTGTCGATGTCGATACAAATGCAGAGCAATGCCACTCAATATCTACATCTATGTCAATGCCGATACAAATGTCGAGCAACACTTTCGTTACTATGCATCTACATTAACATCGAGAGCAATGTTAATGTAAATGCAAAGCATCGACATTTGCATCGATATTTGCATCATCCATCATTACCAAACACATAACTGAAACATTAAAATTATATTTTTACTCGTTGTTTTCATATTTTCATCCATAAAATTGATAACATTATAATAAATAAAATTAAATATTTTACTTTTGAAATCTTAATATAAATTTTTAAAATCTAAAAATTGAGATACTAAAATGATCTAACTATATGAAATAATATGTAATTAGCCCATCACAAGAATAATCTTATTTCTAAAATAAGAAGTGCTATGTAAAAAAGATCACTCTTAAAGAAAAAAAACTAAAGGTTTTTTTTTTTTGAAGAATTTATCAATCTTTATGTATCTTTGATGAGCACACCGAGATTGGTCTCAGCAGATCATGTGCCCGTGAAGGGCCACATCATTTGCTCCCGCTACAGTCACATACCATATGATGTTTGGCAGTAATTGACGGCCAGCTACTGATCATCCACATGCTCCCCCTGCCCCTAACAACGATAAATCTGCAGCTTTGACTCTCAGCGCTCCTCATAAGACGCATCAAATGGAAATCATACATGGTTACATATATAGTGTGGTATCTGAGAACTAGTTGAGCTTGGAAAACAATTTTTCTGGACTCACAATGATCTGGAAACTTTATCATTCATGTCGAATAAACTTCAGAATGTACTGGACCACCAACTCTGGCTTCTCTACATGAGGAATATGACCGCATCCTGGAATCTGAATTAAGGTAGAATCTGGCAGTTCATGATGCAATCTCTGCATGGTAATGTTTTTTCCAAAGTGAATGCAGTAATTTAATGCTCTGGAATGAACAATTTGTAGCAGGTGAATTCTAGAGAACATACCAGTGCTACTTTGCTGCTAACAATTTGATCGTCCTGTCCCCATATAATTAAAGTCTCTTGTTTTATCTGCAGAAATAATTTGCAAGAGAAGTCTGTAAAAACGTGAAACTGCAACCTACTGGCATACAGAATACCAATCAACAGTAGGCATCGACATGCATGGTAAATGTATTCTCAACTTCTCTGTGATAGCATAAATCTACTTCACCCTGCAAGTATGGTTTGCTAGAATAAAGCCACACGTTTATTCACTGCACGAAAAATCATGACCAAACCTTCAACTGGGCCGAGCTGCTACAGAAGGCTGATTGGCAACATATTGTTCCACAAAGATTATTGCATGTGGTTGCTCTACACATGATGCTGTGCATGTTTGTTGGTTCATTGGATCAATCATGCTTTTGAGGCTTGAGATCAAAATTGATGTGTCATCAATGCTTCTCATATGCCCAATAATCCAAGTTCAACAACTGAGACCTTCTTGTCGTATGAGTTTATACTATAACCAAAAGGTGGATCATTATATCTGCTACTAACTCTAGAATTGACCCCATAATGTTGAAAAAGACATGGATAAACAATAAAGTAACTTTCTAATAATCTAATTTCTACACAAGAAACTAAAAGAACTGCAGATTTCTGCTGATTCTTTTTTTCCATTTTCTAATCGCATTTATGTACTAGTGAAAGTTCAAGTTCAAGCACAAATGTGACTTGTCAAAAATCTCTGAAATTGCCTGTGATTTGCATTCTAATGGGTTACTATTGAAAGCAACCCAACTCATTGGCCAAAACAAACAAGAAAACGGAAAACCCTTAATGACAGAATGAACAAGTCAGAGCTGCAGGACATGGCTGACTAACTGAAATATCCCTCACCTGTTTTACATGATTTCGGACATCATAACCTCCACTAAGCATAAAATCAACAGTTGCATCCTCCCACCAGGGTTGTAAGCAGTGCAATCGGCCCACCTAAAGTTACAAGTAATTGTTAGTATCAGTATAAAAGCCATACAATGTAGAACATGCTCAAGAATTTCATTGAACCATTCATTGAATATGCATATTAACTAACTACTGACTAACATTATTTATACTAGTTGCATATGAAGGTGGATGCCACATTTACTTTCTGAAATATGCCACTCCATATTTGACCATGACGAAGGTGAATATCAAACATAAACTCACTTTAGTGTGAGCAAAAAATCATTGAGGGACAGTAAACATTGTCAAGAAGATGATGACCATAAAAATAACACCATGCACATTTGTGAGATCTTCCCAATATTTGGCATCTTGTTACTGCAATGAATATATATATCCACCTTCAATCAATCAGATTCACCACATTTTTGTGGAGATATGGTATTAATGACTCACTTTTTTCTCATTTTGTTGCATGGTATGTAACAAAATGAGTAGGTAATGGATTTGTTTTCAATCAGGTAAAATTATTATGCAAAGGATGACCATACTGGAAAAGAAATGAAAGAAATGCTGAAACCTATGGCCCTATTCTAACATCAAGCTTGCATTTTTGCAAGCTCCCTTCCACCTCAAACTTCTAACAGAACAACACCTCAAAACATAATCTAAATATCAATATGCTTATTGTAAGAACTCCGTACCTTTGTGTGTGTGTGTGTGTGTGTGTTGTGTACAAAGCATTAAACAGAAATTAGGAAGGCACAAAAGAAATGTTGTCTGTATAGCCATCCACATGCACACATAAGCACCTATTTATGTATATCAATTATCAAGTACAAAAAAAAAAAAATTAAAATGTATATTTCTAACCAGCCACATGCACACATAAGAACCTATTTACATATATCAATTATCAAGTGCAGAAAAATAAATCAAAATGCTTATTTCTTACATTCATAGAGTCCCAGGATGACTGCAATGAGACTTTATTTAAGGCCAAGGAATTTGCATAGAACCGCAGTGGGATGCTCTTCAATACGGAAACCTGCTAAAGAAGAAAGTGGATGTTTTTAAAGAACTAATACAAGACACATTAACTCAATTAGATAATATGTAATGTTTAAAATGAATCACTCTGATGTAACAAATATTAAACAAACAGCATTCATAGACCAGTTAGGATTACCATATATCCAAATACATGAAATGTTTTACACAAAAAAATTCTCACCCCAGCATAAGCTACTATTCTAGGTAGTTTAGCTAGGTTCCCGGTGCCTTCTGCATAAATACTTGCGTCGATCATGACTAACTTACTAACCTGTAAGGGTTAAAAGTAGGAAAGTGTAAGAAGGTAGATGACAAAATTTGAGCTTAATTTAAAATCTCAAAAGGAAGAAGCTAATATATATTTTGGTTGGATACTACTGTCCTTATATTAATTATATTTATAAATAGGTCATCAGATTTACAATTAGGTCATTATAAACATTTTAAAACTGGTCCTTCACTACAAACAAGTACTTACAAAATAAATAAAACTCCCACCACCTCTTATCTCTGCCTTCATCCTTAAGGAACCTGAGAAGGCAGCAACTGGGGGAGAAGAGAGGAAAAGAGGAAGAAGAAGAAAAAGAAGGAAGAGGAGAAGAAGGATTTGGGCTAAGGGTTTGGCTTAATTTCTCATTGGGATCAAAATCTTTCAAAGGTAAGTGTCCTAACTCTTTCTTACAGTGATTATAATCTCTGCTTTAATCTTGATTTTGGATAATTTAAATGATTATGGCCTTGCACCCGATACCTATCTTGTTTATATATAAAGCTTTGAATCTGTAATTTTCAAGATTTATGACATATCTGTCTTGTTCTTGCTATAACTCTTTGTAACGAATTGTGATTTGAGCAAAACTTGCTTTATCTGAAAAGAGACTCATAGATATTTCTTTCTATACCTTGATTGAAAGAATCTGAGTTAGTTTGACCGCCTAAACTTCTATTTCGATTAAACTATGAATTCTGCAAAACAGAGATTGTAATTTCTGACCTTTCGATACTAAACTACTTTTAACTCTCTGTTGGAAACTCTGATTAGTGCAAAACATGCTTCAATGAAAACTAGATTCGTAGATCTATTTTTCAGTACCTTGATTAAAAGATTTGAAGCATATCATTGATGTATGAAATATTTCGAAGCATATCAATGACGTATGAAATATTTCGGAGCATATCAATGACATATAAAATATTTTAGAGCATCCCAATGACATGTAAAATATTTCGGAGCATATCAATGGCGTATAAAATATTTCGGGGCATATCGAAAGAATAAATAAGAAACATAAGCTTAAATGTCATATTTGACGTTGCATTCATTTCATTCTTATCCAAAGCACACATAAAAACTCATAAGCAATGTTTTGGATATCATATCAAAAACATAGAGGGTGAAGTGAGATCATAACATAAAATGGTCCATCCATTTCTGGATGACCACTAAACATAAGTCTCCCACGTTTGGGAACTCCATCTACCCACGTTTGGATGAAGTCAAAGGGGGCCGACAGAGCATCGCAGGCTTTAAACATAAAATTCTTTCCCATTTCTTAAAAAAGTTCACATTATCCCATAAACACTATAGTACAAAAGGACATTGCAAGCAATAAAATAGACACATATCGGAAGCACATGCGAAAAAACGAAAATATACATGTGCCAATATGAAACAATACAATGCAAACATAAACTTTCGTATAATGCGTTCAGATATAAAAAAAATTAAGGACAAGAGTATACAAGAGTTCAAAGCAATCACACAAGGCTCAATTGAAGAAAAAATTCTAAATGAATTCAATTTCAAAGAGATGAAACAAGAATAGGCAAAATTGGCTGTCTTGACAGATTCTCTGAGGCATATTGCATAAATTATTTGAACAATCAATCATGCTCTAATTTACTCAAAAAAGTTATCATTTGAAAGATATATCAATCTACTTTCAAATGAAACAAGTTTTATATGAATTGGAGTTTCCAACAGAGAGTTACAAATAATTTAATAATGAAAAGTCAGAGAACATTATCTTTCTTTTGTAGAATCTATAGGGTCAATTCCAATAGATGTTTGGGTAAGGATTTGTGCTCCAAATCTTTCAAGTAAGGTACTGAAAGATAGATTTATGAATCTAATTTCCAAAGTATTGTGTTTCATACAAATTACAATTTCCAACAGTGTTACAAGCAATATAGTATCGAAAGGTCAGAGAGCAGCATCTCTGTTTTGCATAATCCACAGGATCGATTCAAATAGAAGTTTGGATAGGCATTTGAGCTCCAAATCTTTCAATCAAGGTACTAAAAGATAGATCTACGAGTCTAGTTTCCAACAAAGCATATTTTGCACTAATCAGAGTTTCCTACAGGGAGTTATAAGCAGTTTAGTATCGAAATGCCAAAAATTACGATCTTTGTTTTGCAGAATTCATAATGTCAATCGAAATAGAAGTTTGGGCAATTTAACTAACTCCGAATCTTTCGATCAAAGTATAGAAAAAAAGATTTACGACTCTATTTCAGATAAAGCAAGTTTTGCCCAAATCAGAACTCGGTACAAAGAGTTATAGCAAGAACAAGACAGATAGGTCATAAATCTTGAAAACTCCAGATTCAAAACTTTACATCTAAACAAGAGGGATATCATGTGCTAGGCTAAAACCCTTCGAATTATTCAAAATTAAGATGAAAACAGAGATTAAGATTGCTGTAGGATAGGATTAAAACACTTGTCTTTGAAGAAATATATCCCAAATGAGAAGACTTGAGCCAAAACCCTAAGTCCCAAACCCTTCCCCTTTTACTTCTTCTTCTCCCTTTCTCCCTCTCTTCTCCACCGATTGTTGTCTTCTCAAGTTTCTTAAGGACGAAGGCAGAGATATAGAGGCGGTGAAAAATATTTTGTTTTCTTTGTACCTTTTCCAATTCAGTCCTTATATTATTTATATTTACAAATAGGTCCTCAGATTTGCAATTAGGTCCTTGTAAACAATTCAAAATAGATCTTTACATAAAAGGAAAAAATTTTAGTTTGTGTATACAGAAGGCTAAATAATAATTTGTAGTTTGTGCATACAAAAGGCTAAATAATAATGAGGTCATGCTCTAATGATTCATAGACCAATATAGAAAGTGTATACAAATTAAGTGCCATGAATATTGTACCGCTTCTGGATGGTTGGCTATAAAGTCCATGGCAACAGAAGCACCAAGGCTAGGTCCGACTAACACCATGGGCCTTGCTATGTATGTCCTCCAAAGCTACAATAAAATAACGCAATGAAGTAGTGTCTTTTATCAGCAATAAGAAATGATGCATCAAATTGTTTCCTGTGACTCCACATGATAGTTTCAAGAATTTAAGTCTATTGATTCCTATAGCATTTTCAATCACTCCTAAGAGAAATATTCTTGTGCAGCATATACTCATTAAAAGACTTGAATCTCAGATACAAGCATATATTAGTTAATTGTAGATAACATAAAATCATAAGGATAAACATGCAGAAAGTAAAAAACATAATCAACCAAAAGGTGAACCCATCTAGGGATCAAATAGTTATGTGAGATAGAGAATGGGCAGCATCGGTCTCAAACTGGATCAGAAATTCGAAAATACTTCCTACTCTGTCCAAAATTAAAGATTTCTAACAGGCAATCCTTCAGAATCCTAGCGGCATGAAGATTGGCCATGTGTTCTAGTATGTGTGGAACTGTTTTCCTATAATGTAGGATAAAGTGCCAAAACAATCACGAATATAAAAACAAAGTACCTGGTATAGGTGCTCACGCTTGGCAGCCACATTACATGGTGGAAGCATTTCTGATACATGGCAATAGGTGAAATATATTGATATAGATAGGTATTATAAATCCACATGAAAGTTCCATATTGAATATTTAGGCCCATGCATCCCTTACTAGTTACATTCTTAACCCATTAAAATTATATGAATAAACTTAAAGAGAGATATGTACGTAAATCTGAAAATCCCCATCCAAGAATGTCCACAGCCCATGTATCAATTCCAGCACCCTCAAGCAATGGATATGAATACCTCCATTCTAGACAAGAGCTGTAGATGAGAACTCCAATAGTTTAGTAATCAAGCAACATGGCAAGTAATCTAACTACCAAAGGCTAAATGACAAAATCAGTACTGTATATTTCTTGTTTTTATATTTCTAAGCGCAAATAGCTTCATTGTGATCATACAGATATATAAGAAAAGTATTCAAAAGAATTCCAAAAAAGATTAGTTGACCTCTGAAAGGAATTTAGACAGAGCACAGTCCACAAACTATTAATGGAACAATATTCTCATGCCATTTCCTACATATCCTACATCGTCTAATATATGCTAAACTTGCATGTCATATTTATTAACTTCAAGCCTTTTCCTGTCAGTGCAGCCAGTTATAGACTGTGAGATAAAACCAAGTAGGGACCTAGAAAGATTTGGCATCCTTTTACTCCAGCAATAACCAAGATGTGATAAAAAAAAAGGTGTACCTGTCAAATCCATGTAGGAGAACAACTGGCTCTGTTCCCCGCTCTTGTAGTGGCTTAACGCAGCTACTCATAATGGAGCTTGTTGAGAAGCTGATCTGCAAGGCAACAACATTGTTTACAGAATTTCCAGTTTACTGTCTGCTAAGATTTATAAATATATGCATTTAACTCTCAGTTGTAGAGTTTTGACAGTTTATTCTCCCAGCCCAGATCAGACAGTACGTTAATAATTAAAAAAAACTCTTGATATGGTATTTATATGCAACAGCGCGTATAGCAATCTCTTGGTGTGTAATGGTCAGCCATTATATCAACGATAGTTTCTTAAACTATTAATACAAAATTGACAATCTAGAAGTGACATCATCCTGAATTGATGATGCATTCTCTGGTAGTTGTTAAGGAAACAGCAAATTAGGTACGATGCAACCAAATTACTGGAGTCATGGCTTAATAACCAGATGATGGGAAGAGTGATATCATTTTGAATAAGTGGACTAAAATAATCAAAATACCTGGTAAGAATTGTGTCTTCTTATTTTTCCCAATATCTCTTCCAATACCCATTTTATGGGTTTTATAAACATAAACCCAATTGTCAGCTTTCAATCTGCTGCAGTTACCGATCCAACATTCATAAGCAAACAACAAGAATCTCATTTGAGGATGGAAGATACCTTTGTGTCTCCTCATCTCTCCACGTACCAAAAATTGTGCTGAAAGCTAATTTGAGGGAGCATCCTCATTTTTCAATGTTTAATACTTTAAGACTTTATCTCGCTCCCATAATGCCCAACCTCTTTTTGCATATGCAACAAAAAATCTATCACACACCTCTTTTTTTGTAATGATGGCCAAATGGGGTCCGGTGGGTAGTGAATTTGAGGGTACAAATTCGGATGGGCAGGGGCCAAAATGATTAGGTTTGCTAGTGGTTCCTAGTAGAGCCTTTGGCAATTGCATGGCTATCCTCTCAATTGCAATCTCCTAAGATAGCAATCTCATAATAATCTTGAGCACCAAATCGAGGTTTCTCTTATACAGATCATAAGTCGTCTTCAGATCTTCTTTTGCAGACCTAGTTCATCTTTACCTCCACTTTTGGACCGAGTTCCCAACGCCTACCGAAACCGTGTTACTAATCAAGCACCCAACGCGACTAATCAGAAGGACAGGAACCAAAGAGAATTACCCGCCCAAATTCTCCATGACGATGCCGGATCATCCATCCGAGCAACCAATTACAAAGGCATTGCATAACATGAAACCTACACACGAATCGGAACACGAGATTTATGGATGGGGGATTCGTTCGCCTACCTTCACAGGAAGCCGCTCGATCCTCTTGGCCATGTCCCGGGCGAAAGGGTCTCTAATCTTATCCACCTCCTTGGGGAGGAAGGAAGGGAAGCCATTCACCGAAACCCTAATGCTACCCCTCGGAATCGCGGCGCTCGTCGTCGACGTCACAAGAAGCGACGGCATTCCCAATAGCGGGAGAGAAGGGGGGGAAGTACAGAAGAGAGCGGGAGATTGCCGCGTATCGTTCTATTATCTATCTATCTTATCAGCGGGACACTGTGCATACACAAATACGCAACCGTTCATATAAACATATCACAAGCATAACTATGTATAAGATTATTTATCACCTTAATTGCCTTGACATCACACAGTAATATTTACTGTTATTAATAAAAGATGTAATTTAATCTATTATCCGTTTTCATATGAAGCAAATAGGTGAAGTAACTCAGGATATAATAATAAAGAAATAGATGTGTAGATGGATCGATCCATCAATGTATCTACTTAGCAGCGGGATGAATGCATGCAATAGCTCGAGCCGAAGGGGCCATTTGGACCGTGGTTCGGTCTGGGTTTCACTGGACCATGTTGGATCTATCTACTCAGACTACACGATAATATAATGCAGATATCACCGCCCGATCTATCATCGGGATAAAATCAACGGACAGTATAAACGCTGTCCGAGTATTGGAGATGGAATTCCAATTGCCATCTGGGACCCACAACTTGCGGCCGTCCATGAACAATGTCTCACATACGGATCCGTAGTATACTCACTCTTTTACTCGTGAGATGAATGGAAAACAATAGAGAACTCGTGCGGGACCCTTTTGTGGGGCCGCGAACGTATCTAGTGGGTCACTAAGTGGGTAAAGACGGAGGTCGATCGGACATCATCTATTTTTTCCCCTTCTGTTTGCAATGTTTTGTTTTTTCTTGGTCACTAAATGGCGTAAAATAAGGGAATCGGTTTCGCTTTCCCGTTTAAATCCATCCCCTCACTCGCTCTCTGCCAACCCTGCGTTTAATCGCTCGCCTCTGCGAAGAAGAGGGAGGTACGAAACCCTAAACTTAGATCTGTGCTTTGATCGCTTGAATCCCTCGTGTCTCTGCGTTTCTGCTGCATTTTAGGCATCCGTATCCTTCGAAATAGTGTGGGAATCGAAGTTTTGAGGTTCCCCTGTGCCGATCGTCACCCATTTTAGGTCAGTTGTTGTTGTTGCGATCGTGCTTGCCTCAGATCTGACGTTTCATTGAGGCATTTCGAATGGATCGCGTGTGTTTTTACTTGTTAAGAATCTGGTATCAGATTGTAGCGATTGCATTTCTTTATTCATGTTATTTTTCCCTTTCACTATGTATTTTCTTATCGCGTTCTACATTGACGTGTTTCTTTAGAAGGTTTTAGTGGGTTGGAGCGACAATGACATCAAGATCGGATTCAGTATTACCGATATTATTTTGATGTTTCCACTCAGTTTTGCTGTCTCCGTAGCGAAGGTTGAAATACGTTAACTAGTATGGACGTGTTGTCACAATTTTATGGACTTTATCTCATGCTAACCTTCATGAATTTTGAATATGATATGCACAAGGCAATGGGGGTAAATTTAGAAGATGAATGCGTGTTTATATTGACTTTATGAGAAGTTGGAATGAAGATTCGGTTCTGATTTTGCAGCACGTAACTGTGGAATTGGAAGTTCTATGTCTGATAATCTCTTGTACAGATTGCAGTGAGTAGAGATCGTATAAGAAGAACAATATGTCCAGAATGTCACATTTGACAAATGATTAGAAATCAATATGGTTACTTAAATATCTTTGGCGTGCTGTGTATAGGTTATCCTCCATGATCTGATCTGTTGATTCAACAATTTGAGCTTGTTGGTTTATTCAACATGACTACATTATATATGTTTATAGTATGCAATTTCTTTTTATTTGACTATATTTCCATAATATTCTTTATTTTTTTCATACACATATATGCTTATGCAAGCATGTACAATTTTTGCAGCGAAACTACCATGATTTGGTTTAGTTGATTTCTATTTATGCCAGCATCAGAGTTCATGTGAAAAAAAAATGCACTGCGATATTCTGGATGAACTATGTAATTCATGCCTGGACAAGTGACATGGCCTCACCATTTGAGGCTTTTAAGCTTCATGAAGAAACAAACTTTGTGAGTCTCACCATTTCTAGAACATGATTCCTTCATTGGCTTGAATCAACTCGTAAGATATCAAATTACTTTTATATGTCAAAGGGGTAAGGTCTTTAGTTGTTGAAGGGAAAAGGACCAACCAATGATGAAGTGGTTTTCTTCATTGGCAATGGAGAATAGATTGGACAAAAGATTATCTAGGACTTAACCATCATTCTCATCTCTTCTCTCTCTCTCTCTCTCTCTCTCTCTCTCTCTCTCTTCTTGCTGATTTATTTTTCTTGTTGTTGCTAACCTCTTTCTCCTTTTCTTCACCAATTTTGTGTTTTATATTTTGCAACATGATTTTAATGAGTCAGACTTGTTATTTGGTTCTTTGGATATTAGTGAATGGTACCTGAATATATAGCTATTCATTTATAAGTTTTTGTGAAGCTTTTAAGCTGAGTTAGTCAACCTTGCACTGTGGCATGGACTGCATCTGGTGCTTTACTGTCAGTTCTTATGGATTTTGACACTTCTACATCTTTTGAGCCTTTAGGAACTTCGATTTTAGAATCCAGAAACTTGTAATTAGTGTGTCCAAACTCAATGCAGACTTTGTACACATATAAATCTTATGTATGGATACTTTATTAAACCAATGTTTCTCTTTTAGTATGCCACAATCTCTTTCATCACACCACAGAATCAGTTTCTAAATTTTATATGTTTGTTTTAGGCTAGTAAACCACAAGTGTTTAGTTCTTTTTTTCTGCATGAAGCATTTCAGCGGTATTTCTTTTGCATGTCAAAGACACATCATTTGTTTTACACTAATGATTCTTCATTATCTCTAGTTAACTTCTTCATGTTGTTCTTTTTGTTTTTTATTCTTATGTTTTGGAATTGTTTAATTTCATCATCAAATAGGGATGAATTTTTATCTTGCAAGGAAAATGTCTTTGAAGAATGTGGTTTGTGTTTCTAGTCAAGATCTTGCATCATTTTGATTCTAGATAGCTGCCTAGGGTGATCGGATTATTCTAGGAATTGTCTTTTTCTTTTTGTTGATTTTAATGGTCAATTAGGAAATCTATGCCATGTTGATATGTAAAATTTGATGTAAGTCAACCCCTTGAAAGGTAGGAGAATATCCATCCAATCAGAGAACTTGAGAACTGCCTAAACCAAGTAGGTGGCTAAAGGTTGGAGCATAACAAATATTGGTTCTTTTAGGGTCACTCTGTTTATGCACTGTTAGGATCTTGTTAGGAACTTTGGTGCATCATGAGTTATTTTCACTACTGCTAAACAATTCAGTTTCTTTTGTGAAATTATTGAACACCTTCACCTCCAAAAGTCATCAAAATTAGGGTATCATGTTGCTACAGTTTAATTTTACCCTGTCATATCTATTGTTCTTTTGTTACATCTGCTTACACTTAAATCAACAGTACATTGATAATATACATGCTTGCGAGTTCATAGATTTTGCAGCCTGTCAAGATGGGTCGCGGAGTAAGCAGTGGAGGGGGTCAAAGTTCTTTAGGTTACCTATTTGGTGGTGATGAGGCTCCTAAATCTACTGGAGAGAGTGCTGCACCAGCTCATAATCCAGCTCCTCCACCACCTGTTGAAAACAGCAAGCAAATTCCTGCAGGTATCCAAGGGAGCCTACCAAACAACTACCACCGAGCAGATGGGCAGAACACTGGTAATTTTATCACGGTATGAATCCACTGGCTCAGGTTGTCATACTCATCTGGCTCCTCTCGGTCATTGAATTCTCTTTAATATCTTACTTTGCATATGATATTTCTTTGAAACATGTTCAGCATGTGAATTCACATTTGTGTAACTATATCACTGTGAAAAAAACCAGCAGCAATTCCTTCCTCTCCCAAGTGGCCCTGAGTATGAGATTCTTCACTTGCATCTATCTACTCGTATAACTTAGTTCTATAATGGTACACATGATATTACCTGGTGGGTTATATATGATGATTCATGGTATATACTCTGATTTGTTCACTTCAATTTTGCATCTTTCTTGGCACCCTTCTACAACTCTGACCCAGAGCTATTTGTTCTAATGAGACATGAAACCATTCCTGAACTTGATCTTGAAATTCAAGTTTTCAAGTATGTCTAAATAGTCTACATCTCGGAAGTCAAGTTGCAATAAATTGAAATAAGTTGGAACTTGATCATGATTGTAGCATGGCATCAATGTGAACCATAATATCATAATCATATTGATTTCTAGCTTTCTTTTGAAGTTATTTTCTTTATCGAAGTAGTTGCATGTCGGCTTTCTCAAGTTACAAGCACAACTGTGGTAAATTAAGTATCCGCCTCTTCAATTTTCTACAAAAAAGAACCTGTTTGATTTGTGCTATCATAATGTAACAATCATCCACAACTTATCAATTGGCGATTGTGAAGATTAATGCTTATTTGGCGCATGCTGACAATAACTTGCACATTTTGAAGCTAATTCTGAGCCCTCTTATTGCAGGATAAACCTTCAACGAAGGTGCAAGCTGCTCCTGGTGGTGGTTCTTCCCTGGGTTACCTGTTCGGGGGTGGTGGCAACTGATGATGTTATTCTTGCTGCTGAAGTCAGTGAGAAACTTCCGAAACTATGTTATTGCTGCTTGCAGCTTTTGGGATGACTATATTTGCAATTTGGAGTTGGTAAATGCTTTAACTTATTAGCTTCATGTCTGAAATGGTTACAGTGAAGTTTATGAGTGTAGGTGTTCCTTGGACAAGTGGCTTTGTAGTCTGCACTATTAACTAATACCTCTTTATTCGATTTCCATGTTTCTTTACAAATGCATACTTGTGATTTTATTAAAGGATTTGTAGTGTCGAGGTTCACAAACATACAGGAAGTTTCGTTAATATCTTGAGAATTCAATTGTTTGCTCTCACCATGGTAAGAATATTAAATTACGTTTGTCATGTTATTTCTTTTTAATTTTCAAACTAGCTTGCTTCCGTTTGTTTTGGATAAACAGTGAGCGGAATATAGTTGTTGGAGGATGAGGATATTATAACTTTAGAGGGACATGAGTGCAGGGCAAACTTTGGGCTCTTCTTGTTAGCGTCACCTCCACGTTCAAGTGGTCATGGTAATTCTCAACACCCCATCGTGGTCATTTTTGCCTCACAATGGTCGTAACGGCAATCTTATGCTTTAAAAAATAAAGGACGCTATGTGAGAATAAACAAAAAAAATTCTTCGAGACTATTTTTTGAAAATTTTACTTTTAAGTAAATATGCTATTTTGAAACATTATGAAAAAAAACAAAATAAAAAAACGAAAATATATTACCTAGTCCTACAATCTGTGGGATCAGTAAGAGTTGTGCCCACCACTAACACGAACAACTAGACGGCGGAGCGCTTTTCGTAACCCGTAGGTATTGAGGGTAGTAAGATACTTGACGTTTTGCCTTTAGATGTCATCATCGTCGTGGTGGCACATGAAAACGAACCATAATGAATCAGTGTTCAGCAGTAATAGCGACATCTTGCCACACGAGCTCCCGCCCATCCAAGGTGGTGTCTTTCACTCCTCATGGCTGTCAATGCTCTACGTATAAATAAATTAATTATTATCAATCTCCGTCAGCTGATCATCGAAAGACATTAAAACATTAAAATCCCACAAAACTATCTTTTTATATCAACAAGTATATAGGTTTTCATATTTTCATTATTTTCAACTAATTTTTCGATAAATTTGCAAAGAAACCATAAGTCGAGTTGGGTAGTAAACTATTATGAGTCATTTCATCCAGACAGAATGCTGGGATCAGCTTTTATCCAAGAGACCAACACTTCGACAAAGCCGAAGCGGAATTGAGCCCACGAATGTAGAAGGCGCAGCTTCCTTTTACTCCACGGATCTAACCGGAAATAAGCGAACCAGATTCAATGAACATAATGGGATATGGATGTACAATCCTTAGGGAAGGTAACATACCTTAAAATGCCTCACTAGATTATGATTGCACGTACATGAAAGGAGACTAAAATTGCATATATCTATGCTTGACATACTAGTAAAAAAAACCTAAACTTGCATGTATGCCACCATGAATAATCTCTCAGTTAATTATCGTTTGACTGCTATATGATCTTAGCACCAAGGTTCCGAATATGTATCGATCAACTATTATACGTAACATACCGACACATGATACATTAAAATATACCAATATGTCACCCATAACAGTCCTCTATCGAATCAGTATATACCACCCGTACTGAGCGATATGATATTACAAACCATGCTAAGCGCCTATTAAAAACTCAATATGATTAAAAACTAAACTGTAGAATGTATGCACATCAAAATTTATACAGGCAAATATGCACGTCATTAAAAAAAGATACCTTTACATAACCCACCATCCTGCAGGACATCCTTCAGTCTCCCTGAAACAGAAAACATATATCAAATAAGAAGCAAAGGGAAAGAAATCCTCAGCCTATTTCTACACAGACGTTGCAAAGATACCTGACTGCACCAACATACCCTTTGGTGATGTCAACTCGTCTTGCAGAAAATATAAGCATGCTAAGAGAACCCATGACTTCCACGGGAAACGCAAGGAAACAAGGTATGGGGAAAAGAACACATATGGAGCATGACCGCATGCAGATCAAAAGAAACATACCAAGGAACCATGACCTTGGCGATGGCATTGGCAAAGAGAATCAAAATTGTTCAATGTGTATTTTCAACAGAATTAGGTGCCAGACTTGGACTTGCCCCACACTCTTCTATCAAATCCTCACTAGCTTCCAAGCCATTACAGTAAACAACAGCTAGATCAGAAACGGGATCAGATTTTTGAACCTTTACAGTGGGAGGACAATCAGAATCCTGTGCGATGCTACTGTTTCCTGCTTTCATGTTATTAGCAGCATCAGCATCATCAACGGGTGGTTTCTCCAAGGAACAGTGATGATCAGCACAACCATGTGTTTTCTTATTATCAGAAGCTTCGGGAGGCTCCTTTTGCTTTTCTTCAGAATAGACAGGTGCCGACAAAGCGTGTTTCCCATTTACCCTTTCATTCTGCTTCTGATACAATGACATGGCTCTCTGCAGAACAGTCATAAAATGGGTTGAAGACAGTGATAAACTAATAAAACTCAAATGTTGAAGCATTACCATGGCACCAAGGCTCACCCTCGATCTCACATTTTAGTCCATTAGAGTGTGCATGTTGATTCAGATGTCAGTTATTTACTTTCATGAATTTGGATATTTATATAAATAAAAATTAAACTATGTAACTATATCTCTTTGATAGAGATACTGATAGCAATCAGATATCTGAAACTTTACAAATTTGAATTGGATTTGAGACATCAAGTCAAACATTCATTGAAAATGGATTCAGTATTCAGTGAATATTGGAAAACTTAAGTCCTTATTTACTTTCATGAATTTGGATATTAATATAAATAAAAATTAAACTATGTAACTATATCTCTTTGATAGAGATACTGATAGCAATCAGATATCTGAAACTTTACAAATTTGAATTGGATTTGATACATTAAGTCAAACATTCAGTGCATAAACTAACAACTGGTTAGGTGGGAATAGGAGGAGGATTTTCTGTTAAAAAATAGAAAAGAAACTATCAATAATCAAGTTCGTTTTCTGTGTCCATCAATTAATTTCATTGTGCATACGGTGTAAAATTTACCAAAGACAAAGCTATACCTTAAAAATAACTTCTTTTGCAGTCGGAAAGAACGAGTTCGAAACAGAACCCATGCTCTTCTTCACTAGGATGTCATCTTTGTTACTCTGAAACAAGATGAGTAAATTAAAACTGATAAGTTAATAGTCTGAGCAATAAAACTAATATATAAATACTTTTTTTTTAATCTTGAAAATATGTAAGAATTCAATACCTGAATAAACCTGTAAGCAGTCAAACTGCCAGCACAATTAACATCTGACATTCCCAATAGGGATGTGCACCTTTTGTACAAGTCTAAGCCTGCAAGATCAGGCGAGATATCTATTCTGGAAAGGTAGTTGGCTATCTTATCGCCTTGCATATTCAAAGGCTCAGGTGTTTTCTTGGATATGGCCTTCTGGGGGAACTCAACAGCACTTTTAGTAGCGAGTGTATCATTTGATGGCTTCGGCGAACATTTTAATTGGGCAAGTTCATCAGTAGGAGAATGTGTGGTAGATTCCTGTTCTTTCTTGGGTACAGGAGTGTCCATATTGTTACTATTTTCCCCCTTGCACGTCTCAGAACCTGTTTCCCAGCCCCTGCTGCCCATTAGCTGATTATTATCATCCCATTCTTGCCTCGCATAGATATGGAACTCATTATTGAACATAACATTGCTTCTGTCCCACATTTGCATATGAGGATGACATATTTGGTCAACTGGATTATGCCAACCAAATGGCTGGCCATGACCAGAAAACCTCTCAGCCATGTCATGCATGTGATAAGAAACTCCACCATGGGTCATATCCATGGAAGGTCTGATGCCAAATAAAGGCGGAGCTGAGAACTGGGACATGGGCGGAGGGAATCCAGCGGTAGGTGGACCATGATGTAAGGGCATAAAACCATTTGTAACTGGAGAAGGCCAAGATGGGGCACCTTTCCAGGCATTTCCATGTCCTCTTTCAAATCCAAGATCACCTATCCTTTTGTAACGATTATAGGATTTGTGATCACTACTCTGAGCTTTATTATCATCTTGATATGGGCCCAAAACTGAAGGACTGTCGATCTGGAGCCTCATGGGCGGTGGGGGGTGGAGGTGATTAGGTGAACGATCAGAAAGGTAACCACTTCGGTTAATAGATGATGAACCAACAGGAGTCGATTCCCTAGCACAAACATCAGTCTGAGCCATGTCATCTAGGATGGGCTTATCAAAAACCGACTCTCCTCTGTCTCCATATTTGGAACTACTACTCCTTTGTCCTATTTCAATATCAAGGCGCTGCCTGGTAGTTCTGTCATACTTTGAAGGAGATCTTTCTGAAAACCGTCGACCACTATTAGCTGATGAAGATCTTCCCTTTGAATGGTTCGGTGAAGCACGATGATCTGGTTTCAGAGTCTTATCAAACTTTGAAGCAGCACTTTCTACATCATCCTTCTGGGTTAGCTTTCCCGATCGAGTACCAGAACTTCTGTCACGAAGTCCTGAAGAAGTCAAACTATCTCCTTTAGATGCTCTAACAGGGCGCAGTCTCTCTTCAGGTGCTGATTCTCTATGTGCAGATTCTGCAACCTTCGAGACATCCCTGCAAAAACATAGATTAAATCATTCACGAAGGACACTAGACATTTGTAAAACAAACTACAAGGGGTCTAGCTTGACCCCTAAATTAAAAAAAAAAGCCTGGGCATTTTCTGCCCCTTAAAACCTGAAAGGCCTAAGCAGGATAAGCTCATGTCAGTCTGAATTTAAGATCCATAAGGCTTACGCAGGATGAGCTCAGAACCAGATTATTCATCATCAACCACCAGGAAAATTACAAAAAGGGAAGTAATCAGAGTATATAAACAACAATAAGAAGCCATAATATCCCAAATTATTTGAACATGAATCCACTCCCACCGAACAGAACAATAAAAAACATGAGAAGTACATACAAAATAGAATATTTTGACAATCATAATCAGGTACTAAAGTTGCTTGTCTAGCCCAGTAGGAAATGAAGGTACGTAACTATGGGTCACTACCATCAAACAGATCTTTTTAATGAAACACAAGATTCCAAAAAAATGCACATTGCTGATAGTTCCTGTCAAACTAAAAGGCCAACACATTAAGCAACTTTCCAGCACATGCCTGGTTTTCTACATAGATACGGAAATCTCTTAACTGAAAATTCAAATTCATGGCCCCCAGATGCCTGGTTTTCTACATAGAAACAGAAATCTCTAAGCATGAAAAATTCCACAAGTTTCAAAAACTTGCAAACATGTTATCTTGATTATTCATATTAGTGGCACCAAATTGTTGCTTCAATAAACCATCTAGAAGAGAGAAGCCAAAGACAGAGACCGAACTGTCCAAGTGTCACCATGACTAGAAGGAAATAAGTCAGAGGAAAAAATGAATTACATTAAAAAAAAGTACCTGTTATGATCTTTAGCAGCATATGCGCTGGAGCTGGTGGAGGTTTTCAGTCGATTATATCTTGGACTTGAATCAGCCTTCTCAGCATGTTGACGCTCTGACCTAGGTTTATCACTACGAGAAACAGTCCTACTAGTGGATGCATTTTTATCAACAACTTCACGTCGCTCCTTTGCACCTCTTGGGTTCAGATTACCATGATCCTCCTTTTCATCAGAATACCTTTTCCTTCCCTTGCTATCTTTGGGCCTCGTGTCATGATCATCAACATAAGAATTCCCATCGTGATCAGTATCCTGAAGTTTACTTTTCTTATAATGACTCTCCAGATGTTTGTTTTCATCTCTAAGATGGCCTTTGTCAGATTTATCGTTCGTGTGATCTTTTGATATGCACTCATCTTGGTACTTGTCATCGCGATGCTTACGATCCTTGTCATCTTCATCCCTATATTTACCTCTGTACTTCGCACCTGCATGCTTTTCATCTCTGTAGCTTCTATTTTTACTAAGATCATCTCTAGAAGATTGTCTTTTCTCATCGAAATCTCTACTCTCATCTAGCCATTTATCTTTATCTTCAGAGTCATCTCTCTTCATGTGTTTCTCAAGCCCCTTCTCTGCCTCAGCACTGTGCAACCTTTCTGTTGCCAGATAGATGGAAGATACAAGTTAATAATCAGAGTATCACCAACTAGTAGAAAGTACCAGTCAGCAAAAATATAATACATACTATAATCATAAAAGACAACACACTTATAGTAAATAATGTTGTTGTTTAGGACACAAATAGTGACATTGAAAAGATATAAGCAGACTTATTGTATCCAATATAATCATAAAAGACAACACACTTAGAACAACTACAAAAAAATTGCAAACACACCACCTACAATAGTGATAACACTTAATGGTAAAATAGCATATACTCTCGCCCAACTAAAAACTTACAAAATAGAGGTTACAGACACGATTAAGGGATCAACTTTATCATAAGTCTTTCAGATGACAATAAATTGATGAGGTGCCATGTACTGATATTATTAACAGCAATTTATCAGAAAATGTCAATAATAAAGTTAACTTCTCATGCAAACATGAGATCAACAATAGATACATTCATCACATAAATTGGAGTTAATGAAAAAGAGCAATGTAATAATTTTCCACTAGGCCGAGCCAGACTCAGAGATTGAAGAGGTATCATTGCCAGAGATTCTATGTTAAAATTATAAATTATGTTCTAAATATTGCAAATAACTACAAAAGAAATCTAGTTACTTGAAAGTCAATATGATTCTATGATCTGTACAAATTGCAAGAGACAGAATCACACACATGAATAGAACAAAACTGAACTTTTCAAGGGGGATCAATGACAATCGTCAAGCTATTTGGGAATTAAGATGATGAGATGATATTAAAGTAGTTCATAAGTACCTAATATAACAAGAAATATAAAAACTTGTTAAAAGAATAATTAAACTGAAAGACTTTCAGGTCCAATATATGAAGACTCAAAGTGCAGACAGTTTCTACTTATGCTTCATTCAGATAAAGAATATGACATGATCCCAATTTGTGTGATTTGCATAAGGGCACAAAACTGAATCCTTTAGAAATTTGTTTATGCTTTGCTTGGTAAATATGGATCCAACTGTGGAACACTATAGATTATCTAAAATGTCTTGAGTGCCGAAAGGTAATCCCTGAGACATTTCCATTAATATGATTAAAAATGGAACTACCAGTCACCTATTACAGAGATCATGTCAAGCATTTTTTTTAAAAAAAATCATGGAAAATCAAGTTTTCAAATCAAATTTTTATCACAAAATCCATGTAATTTGAAGCAATAGACACATATATTCCAATGTTCCGCAAAACAAATGTCAGGTCACAAATTGGAAAGAAACTTCATTTCGAAAAAGACATCAGCTACAAAAAGAACAGTGATAATAACCATAACAGAGCATCAATATATTTGTAGGACTAAAAAAACCAAAAAAATCATCTTAACCAAGGTGGCGTATCATACATCCAGTTAAGCCAATTGTCCACTGAACTAATTCTTCCCAGTTCCAACTATAATAAGCAAATTTACTTAATTCACATAATAAAATCCAATGCATCGTCTAAATAAGCCGATTAACATTAAATCAAGTTTCTTTTGACAGTATGAGGTGCAAAATGCCATGATATACACAAATAGGTTATCATTAAACTCCTTAACATCTGAACTGCAATAGCACCCTCCTGATAATGATAAAAATATACAAAGTCACATCAGTCAAGCCAAAACCAAAACCAAACTACAAACAGCCTTCTCGCCATCTTCCTAACCCATTTGAAACTAATTCCGGCTTTGATTATGTACTTCTGTCTCTCTAATCCAAAAGGAAAATTATTGAGTACAAATAATCATCAGACCAACAGTGAATAATGAGTTAAAAATTCCACCACTCTTAACAATCGGCATCCATCCATCATAACTTGGTAAGATTCAAAGATACCTTTCTAAAATTAAGATATCATCAAAGTCACTACAATTATTTCTTCCCAGCTAATTCCACTCAAACTTGCTTAAACTCCAAATTAAACAACTTAATCTCCTGGTCATCTGCTTTAATAAAGTAGTAGTATTTCAACTTTAATTTCTTCAAGAGGTCATTCGTGCAACAAAAATAGTAGGAAGAACTCATGTGGAAGTTCCGTAATCCCAACGCAACCAGAATTACCATAGAACACATTTGTTCAAATTCCAAACTCTCACCCCTAAAACTCTCAGCAATCTCATTAAAATTTTTAAATGTTTCACATGTCACAATTTTCCAGTTATGCAATCAGATATAATCAATACCAACATCAAATGTTTCACATGATACAACACCAATATTCTCAAGCCCCTTTTCATGTATGTCAGTCCAACTCCTAAGACCTCATATCCTAAGCATGAAGTGGATCATCAAATTTTGTAAAAAAATCCATAAGGCAGCCACTGAAGAATACTTTGTATTCGAGTGTGCCTAAAATGTGCAACAAACCAACAACCTTAAAGTTAGAACAGTAAAATGACCTATATCCACTAAACAAAAATATCCATGAAACTAAGATGCACCATTCAACCAAAACAAAGTTATGATTTGATCAAATTGAATTTCCCAAGACAAGATTTATTCCCTCTTCTTGAGAAGAAAGGTAATAAAGGTCATTAGGCCACAACAATGGTTGCTTAGCAAAAAATAATGTGTGAAGTTTTTTACTTGGTCAACTAGTTTATGCATAGAAATATAGGTGGTAAGCTTGATATTTTCAAATGATTCAATCTTTTGGTGGGTGGCTCTGGAACAAGATGAATGCCTCCTATAAGCATATTGTTTAACAATGGAAAAAAGGAATAGGTCAAATTATTAAAAAGGTTATGGGTTAACTTACCATTGATTTTTGTATACTTCTTTTTTGCAATATCTTCTGTGTCTGCGACAGCCTGAGAACCAGGTTTAATGCCCCCCAAATCATCAGACTTGTGATGCCTGGAATCTTGGGCCTCCCTGTCCTTATCGGTGTCCCTTTCCTTTCCATCCTTATACTGAACAGTGCTCCCTCTCCGGCTTGAATCTTTATCAGACTTTCCCTTCACCGACTCATTCTTCCCACCACACTCATCCCTTTCATTCGAATCTTCATGCCTACTGCTTGACCTGCCCTTGGAATCAGCAGCCTTCGACCTAGAATACTTGTCCAACTCCACCGGCCCAAATTCCTCTGCTTTCGTCCTCTTGTGATCATTCTCTGCGCCACCATTCCATCGATCAGCAGCCATCACCTCCTCCTCCTCCCTTGATTTACGCTTCTTCTCCCCAGAGGTGTCCCCATTGCCAGTATCCACCAGCTCTTTAGCAGCATGCTCATGCGAGGACCTCCGTTTCTCCGACTGCGGATCCCTAGAAATCCTGGCTCCCAAGCTCGCAGCCAGTTCCTCTTCCGTGGTCCTCCTCTCCCGCGGGTTCTCATCCTCCTCGGAGTCGGACCGGTCCCTGGAGTGCTTGTGCGACCGGTGGGATCTGTGCCGTGAGCTCCGCGGCATCCTCGCGAAGCCCTAGAAACCCTAGTCCAATAAATGTCCGATCGAGCAGTGGGAATCCTCCGACGAGTCAGCAAACCCCTTAAAGAAACACGTCTTCCTCACAACCACCGCGATCTCCACAACAAACCGTATCGATCAGAAGAAAAACCCCAAGGCGGCGGCCGCGAGAGAGCGTATCGACGGCCCCCGCGGTGGAGAGATTGTAGACGAAGAGAACAAGAGCAGCTCCAAGAAAGGAGAGGAGATCGAAAGAGAAAGGAGGGAAGCAGAGCATGCGGTGGCGGCGCGGCGGTGGGGCAGCAGCGGAGACACGAGAGAGGTAAAGAAGAGGGAAGGGGAACTGGATGAAGAGAGGCGACCGGGTGCGTGACGAAGAGATGGGGTTCGAGGCGAAGCGGTCCGCCCCTTGGTTTCCTTTTATGACTGAACTACCCTTGTGCTCATACGAACTTACGTGCACCTATTGGCGGTAATATCCCCTTTTTATAGGACCAATTCAGTAATGTCGCATCATTATTTAGTTCCGGAAGAAACCCTTGCACTCTCGCATTATTCTATGACATAATTATCCTTGCACTTATGCGAATAGCCACAGTTTAACGGTGGTAAATGTAGAGTCAGTATAGGGTTAATTTAGACATTTACTTACCGAGCCTTTTTCAACGAGTAGTAAAACTGGAAATAGCTAATACGTCTTCCTACCGTTTCGGACGTACTTGCATTGTCTACCATAGTCTAACTGGATAAAGATAGTGGTCCCCCCGCTGGGACCCGTTCCGATACCTTCGCACTGCAACTTTGCATAAGAGTAACACGCCAACAATTCTGCCCACCTTATCTACCTGTAATCTACCTGAAGAAACGGAGTGGTCCCCCGTGGGACCCAACCAAAGACCTTGGGGCTGCCCCTCATAGTTCAGACGGTGACGCCACTGATGGGTAAGCGATTATCTCTGTGTTTATATTGGAACTAATCATGGAAAGCTTATTGAACCCTAAAAGAAAACTGGGTTGGATACAATGATCCTACTTTGATTAACTTCAATATATTTTTGTAGAATGAGTAATGTTATTCATTATTTCATCATGAATGAGCTTACAAATTCATAAATGTAATTTTAATTTTAAATAAGCAAAGTATAATTTTCCTATTGCATTAGGAATAATGTCATAGCAGTATTAGGACTACTGTAAACCCCTGAACAATATTTTTTATTAAATCAGGAATATAACCATTTGAAAACACAATTATATTTAAAAAAATAACTATATTCTAATTGGAATATAGTTTCTATATTCATATAGCTTCTTTAGTTTAGGTGATTATGGAAAATTGAACCTCACAAACATTTCTTAAATACAACAACAAGTTGTTTAGTAAATAAAATATAAAAAAAATATTATTGATGAAATATCGATCTATTTTCACATGCTTTGTTCTATCATATAATCCGAGTTGTGGGTAATAATTTATTCGACAACAACATAGGATTACTTGCTCTGATTTTAATCAAATTAGTTCACATATTCGTAATGTCATGATTCTAAATTCAGCTTATTGGGCGACTTCAATAGCTGAAAATTTGATCTTCTGTATAGTCTGCGTAGGTTTCTATGCTTAGATGAGATTTCAAAGATGATTGCATGAATTGACTCGCCGAAGTTTTTCTACCTTGTTTTCGAACATATAGGTGAAGCGTTGAGGTATTTTAAGTAATCTACGTCTAGATGAGATTTCAAAGATGAGTACATGAATCGGCTTAGGATATACTAATTGCATATGATATGTTATGTTTAGCCATAGCATCATCTTTTATACGAGTGAGTCAAAGTCAACTGAGATTCTTTTTCGAATCTCTCTCGAGATAGGGTAGTATTGGATGAATAAAACACCCCAATCGAAATATTGTAAATTGCATAGGAGACGTGTGAAAAGATTCCTCTAATATTTAGATTTGTTTTAGGATTCAATTCAATATAGAGACATAAAAATATTAGAGTGAATTAGATATATGATATATATATATAATCATTGAGTTCTATGTCGATTTGGTTTAACATAGATCGAAAGATGTTATTTTAATTATTATTTCAGTAAATTGCTTCTCTTTAGCTTATCATTCTTCCTTGTTCAAGTAAAACAAATACTTATTTTTGCTAGAAAATCAAGATCCCTTCTTTGAACGTAGAAAGGTAACTCATTACATCGAGACTCGGATGATATTGAATTTTGCTACAAAAGTAAAAAAGATGCTCCTTAGTAAAAAGAAAAAAAATCTCCCCAAGATTCTCTTGTGGTATGTCTATGAACTCTCATGTTTGTTTCTTCTCGAGTGCATATGTTTTATGTGATTATGAGAGGTTTAATGAGGAGATATAATGTATTATGTGATTATAAGAAGTTTAATGAGAAGATTTAATGCTATAACTATCTTAATATATTAAGAATACAACTGCACTCAACTATTTTATTTATGAATTATTTAGGGATAACACTAACTACATAACAATATAATTATATTGTAATTAGGAAAGAAATACAACTTCCATATAGATATACTTTCTATATTCTTAGGTGATTCCCCAACACTTTTGTTTTTGTTTTAGAGTGCTAAATGATGGATATATGTGAATATATATAATTTCAACCCACAAATCACTTCAACTTAAACATGACAGGGTAAATCATTTCAGCCAGAACAGTCTAATTCTTCTTAACTCAATTATTTTGTGGGCTAAACCAGGAATTTAGTCTAATTTGCTAAAGCCAAAATGCGAGCTATAGATACCTGGCAACAATTCTACACAAACAAACAATAATATAAACTCTAATCAGGTGAAGTCAAATGATGATCACACTTTTGTATGACATAGAGAGTGTGGTTGATGTGAAATTGACCATCACAAAAGTTATGCATCACAAAAGTAACCTTCGAAAAGCTGAGAAAGGAAAGATATTTGAATTTTTCCAGCAAAGTTCTTGATATTGATGAATTGGAAAACTTTCTGGCCATGAAAAGGTGCTGTGCTCTTTGATTCAAAAAACCAGGATGATATCATAAGCACACAGTTCTGTGAACCTACTGCATATCTTCCTGATAGTACATTCTTGCGCCATGTAATGACAGAAAACTAGTATTCTGGAAAAAGAGACAGCACTGTACACCATTTGGCACATGACACCATGGAATAATCAACCTTGTTTCATTCTGGATCTGGATTCTGCACAGCTAAATTAATCTTTCCAACCATCTTTGTTTAATCTCCTTGAAGCAAGACCTTTAGATGATGGAGTTGAAACAAGTTGTGGAGTTTTTGGTGCTTCATCATCCCAATCATCTCCCCAACTGTTATCCCAGCCGTCAGCCTCATCAGTTTCCTTGCTTCCTCCTGTTGAAACGGGCAGCACCATATCGACCTTCTGGTAGCTGGGAATACTTTTGCCATATGTCCGCCATAATCTGATGCATAACCAAGCAGCAGTGACCAAAACAACTACACCGAGAAACATGCTGACGGATAAAGTTCGAGCAAGAAAACTGAGGTATCTGGATGTTTCGCCCCTGACAGATGTTGGGATCATATTCCGCAAATTGAGGCGGCAATTACCATCGTCTGCGTTCAAAATAATTGTCGTGTCATTTGCACCATCCTTGACAAAAACCTTCACCTGCATTATTGAAATTGGAGAGGGAACTGAGAGAATCTCAAGATAAAAGCAAGATCCTCAAACTTGAGATGGTTTGTTCAACAAAGGTCTGTATGTTGATTAAGGGATATGCAAGATCAACTTCAACAAGTACATGCTTCAAATATTATTGTCAATCGTATCCTTTGATTAATTGCATGCCCCGACATGGATTAAATTTCCAGAGACATACACAGCAAATTTGAAGGATGGCTCATGAACCACACTGTGTTTGGACAAATAATTTGAGTCAATGAGGTTCTCTATTAGGCCAAAAATCTGTAAGTTTCACATAAAAAGCTCCATGACAGTGAAGGTGGCATATGACTCAGTTTTTCTAACTTAGAAAATCTCGAATCAAATGAGGTTTTGTGTTATTATAAATACCTGGCCATGCGAGAAATTTGCTTCTAGGGTTGTGTTGAACAATCTACTCAAAGGCATAGAGAGCAGGCATGTAACTGAAATGAGAATTTTGTTATCATAAATATCATAATTATCTGGCCATGCAAGAAAATTTATTCTTGATAGTTGTGTTAAACAATTTACTGAATAAAAGGCAGAGAAAGCAGGCATGTGAGATAGCTGATACATTGTAACCATAAACAAGCATTATATCATTGTGCATGAAAACGCATTCACATGCTGATATTTGTTTCAGAAGCACATAAAACACAAGAGGATAAAATGCATACCTCCTCATTTCGCTTTGCTTGAAGCTTAACTGAAGTTCTTTCCAGGTTGACAAAATCAGGAGCAACTATTTTAACATCAAGGGCTTTTGTCCCTCTATTCTCTATCAGAAGTGAAAGATATAGAGAATCTGGTAAAGAGAAAACAAAAGTAGGTAAAAGAGGGAACAAGACAAGCAACACAAAAGCTTTAACTTGCAATGACACTGCCCATGTCATGATGAGCAGTTTATTCCCATAATTAAAAAGTAATGGCTATTAAATCAAGTACATCATATATGAATCGCTATAATACAACTTCCAGTTTCTGTTCTTCCCTCCCAAATTCACTACAGTTTATTTGTCTTTGCAATTTTTTTAATTCAGAGGGTGCAGTATTCTTTGTCAGATAATTTCAGGTCAATAAGCCATTTGCTTGAAGACTGCATGATATGATGTTATTTATTTCAACTCTCTTGAGCATAATGTGAAGAAGACACGCGTAGATATCATACACAGGTGCCTTGCTTTGATTTTAACAAGCAGAACATCAAAAAGTTCAGTTCGACTGGCACAGAAAAGCATGCCAATGCATGGACAGTTTCGAGATAATTCAAAAATACTAGAAACCATTGGATAACTAACAGAAGTAAACACTGATTTCAATCTCATAGTAAAGTCAAGAAAATATCATGGGCAAAATAACAATGAATAATTGTCAAGAGTCATCGAAAGTTAGGTACTCGCTCGCCATATGTAAAAGATTAGTGTGATATATCAATTGTCAATATCTATATAAAGAGAACTGTAATACTTCCTACCTTTACCAGGTACTCTCAGGCAAGCAACAAACTTGTTCTTCTCGTCAATGCATCTATTGGATGGATCACAGCCTTCCACAGGGGAATCCTCCAGGGGTGGCGTCTTGGGATTTGATCCACTCTCCAAACTCTGGTTTCCATTGGCATCCTTTATTTTTGGCACCTCCAATGGCTTATCTCTCGTCTCATTTGAACTCCCCTTTGTGTCCGTATCATGAGGTTTCTTGGTTTCATGTAAGGGTCGTTTGCCCAATTCAGCACTCTTCCTCTCTTCACCAGCATTGTTTAACCGAGGACGACCTGCCTTAGTTGTGACAGAATTTGCAACTAGGATGTTGGTACCAGTCGCGTTTGTGTCGACCTGAGTTCAGTGATTCTGGGCATTAGACACACCAAACATCATAACTTACAAATACATAACACAGATCCAACCCGTGCCGAATATGTATCTACAAACAAGTAAGATGAAGCATCAATAGTTCATCAGAAATTAGTTCTCCGTAAAAACTTAATTTTTTGAGAAGATCATGAAACCACACTGCGTTAGCGTCTAGTATTGACCATATCGGGTGCATAAAAGACATGAAAAAACATGCAAGAAAGACAAATCCCCTCAATAGGCGATGATGGATGAAAGCATATTTAGAGCAGCCAATACATCATAAAAAGGAATGTACCTTTCAGTGTAGCACGAAGGATCAAGAAAAATTGAACGATACCGTGAAGAGAAAAGTGCTCAAAATCGATTTTTTCCCTTCGTAAGAACAAAGCGAGACAAGAAGAAGGGGCCAGACTCCGACACCTCTTGCTCATCTCGCATTGCCATACGCTTAACATCTAAAACCCAGAGAACAGCTCAAATCGCGATCTTACCGACCTCTACTGCGGCCGCGCATCGATCCACGCCGCGGAGGACCACGGAGAGAAGTGCGACGAGAAGAATACAAGCCCCCTTCCTCATCGCGTCCTCGCTTCTCGGGAAAAGGGGGCGACAAGCAACCACCTTTTCCCCTCCAAATCGGAACCCTAATTATCCAGATCGTTTGCCGAAGCAAGAAATCAAGACGTGAAGGGAAGAAGGATTGATCTTCTCTTCGGGATGCGCTATTCTTTCCCGGAGAGGGGACCGAATTGAGCTGCGTCCACCGTAAGTAGCGGGTTGATTCCCCACCCTCCCCCTTTGTCGGCGTGTGCGTACGAGGGAGAGACTGTGTGTGTGTGGAATGGACGTTGAATAATAGCATAGGAAGAGTACTTGGTTAGAGGAAAGGCCGCTTAAAGATTTGACGTGCTTTTAAGAATTTATCCTTTAAGATGAATTTTAGTGTACATATAATTCGACGGTATATATAAAAAAAATTATATACTATATTTTATGTTAGGATCGAGTCGACACTAAAAGAGAGTCAATTAGTACAGTAAATAAAATTTCTCTTCCGTCGAGGCTAACAGCATCCACAAACGATCTTCCTTCAATGGGCAAAGACTAATCACCTTCTTATAACTCTATTATTCTTTTGATAGCCGAGGATAGTGTTGATGAACGAGTGTACCGTGGCCGATGCATCAGCACGGCTTGGTCCGCGGGTTGATGTCAAGAGTTCATGATCGGTTGGGCGAGACGCCGAGGCTGATTACATTTGCAAGTCGAGATGCCGACGTCGTCTGAGAGGAAGCGCCTCTCGGTCGGGACACAAGCGTCGTCTTTGGGGAGGGCGTCTCTTAGTCGAGGTAGTCGCACTTCAGGGGGCGATATCGCTCCTGCACAGAAGGCCCTCGTCAGGAAGTTTCCGACTTTGGCCCCTTGATGATTAAGATAGTGATTGAATTCTTCCTCTCTTTTTCTCTCCCCCTAGTCGGATGTCGGTCAAGGGCTTTTATACTATTGTGCGAGGATCGACTATACGCGGGTTTGGCGCGACGGTCATTCCCCGAGTGATGAAGTGGTACCTTCATGCGGTTGTCGTCTTGGAATGCATGGAACGGCGCCATGCAGCACCGTCCCGAGCTTTTCGGGACGGGATGTATCGAAAGGCGCCTCGGTACGGATCCTGTCTTGGCGCGTAGAAATACTCCTCGTGCTAACTTGGCATGGGCGTGATGCGGCATTAGTTGTGACGTGGCTATGGCCCAAAATATGCCTTATCAGATAGAACCTTTACACCCTCACTTATTCCTCTCTAAACAAAATTCTAAACTTAGAGCTAGAGGAAGAAAACTCTCAAGATTACAATAGTGTTTTTCCTAATTTGTGTTCTCAGTGTAATCTCAGAAGGGTATTTATAGGCTTCAAATGAATTCAAACTTAGAGCCAAAACTTGTCTCATCTCTGGGTCTCCCGGTTATTGACGGTACCATCGCTTGTGCTTAGTGGTACCATTGCTTGGGAGACTGTGTTTGGACGGTACCACCACTTGACACTCTCTAAGATTGTGCCATCAATTGTTCCACCAATTGGGTCACTGTTTGAGCCTTTCACTTGGCCCAACGCAGCCCAAACTTAGACCTAATTGGCCCCTAATTGAGTTGGTATAACTATGTTCTAAACAAACTCAATTACGACCTAAATTAACTCGATCTAGATAAATTATTACAAGCAAGAATATTAAGTTATTCAGCATGTCATTGGTTTATCGGCGCTTCGTCTAATCATTCGATGCATCATCCTCTCTTGTGACCTATTATCAAATCAGTTAGTTGACCTTCGCAACTCTGATTTCATTGGTGCAATTTTCACTCTTCTTGACCCGATGCCCGAACCAATGACCCGAAGCCTTCTACTAATACGTCGACCGATCTGCCGGCTCAACGTCTAATTTTCTGACATGTTTCACTCCGGCCCAACATTTGATTCCTTCTATTTCAATCAATTTATCTCTCCTGATCGAAGCTAGTCTTATATCACTCAAAACGCAGATTAGATCGTAATATTATTAATTGATTTCATCATCAAAATCTGAAATTTAATATTTTGTCACTCCAATAAGAATTTACCTTTTTTTTTTTTGTGTGAGTGGATAATATCATGATTTTTCAGATTTACTATATAATTTAATATGTTTGATTGTGACTTAATCCGAACTAAAAGAATAAACCAAATTAAATAATGGTAGATGAATACCTAAAGCTTTCATAGACTTTGTCATAGTCGATAGACTATTCATCATTTTTGTCTCTTTACTCTCTTCTTCTCCATCTATTAGGCTACTAAATTTTATTGTATGGACGATAATATCAAGAATTTTCTTTGTATTCTCTTCCTCTTCCTGTCTTTCTCTATATAATAAGATATAGGATTGTACCTACAATGGCTTCCACGAGAACTCCATCTACTTATTCGACGAAATGCTTTCAGGATGCTTAAAGCTTAATAATTTTAAATATTATCATAAATAAAAAATAATAGATATAATATTTATATTATATTTCTTTTATTGCACTCGAAAATAAACTGTGGTATCCTCGACTATCGAATTAACTTGGATATATATCAAATTTTATATAAAAAAATATAAATTATTCCTAAAATAGAAAAACTAATTATAAATAGTATGTGAATAATAGATGTTTTGTGGTAATAAAGTTTTAGAAGAAGTATTAGAAGAACTTCGTGTTGTTACACTCGAATATAAATCGAAATATACTCGATTACAAAATTCACTTAAAATATTATCTTTTATTTTTCGAGGATTTGTAGGTTTTTAATGGAATTTAATAAATTTTTAGATGAATTCATTAATCGGTGTTTTTTTTTTTATTGTAAGGATTTGAAGTTTCTCAATACCACCTAAAACTTTCAACGTATGTACTCAATGATATTGATACTTCATGTAGTATTTTTTTTTTCTTCTATTTTAGGATGATTATAGAGTATTTTATTATGAATTTAGTATATTTTCAGGTGGAATATACAGTCGAATACATCTTAGTTTATTTTTGACTCAATAATACGAAGGTTCCCTTATCAAGTCAAATGTTATACTAATACATGTTTTATTATTTTTTATATTAAATAATTTTAGAGTATTTTACTATTAAATTTGATATATTTTAATATAATATATACATTTTGAGTAGGTTTCAATTCATTTTCGAGTGTAAGCACTTAAAATTAGAGACTTCAATTTCCAAAACTGAATGATTTATATGATCTATACTCAGTGGAGTTTGAGAATTATGGTACATCTTTTCATAATTCTCAAATAGTCATCACCTATCTCAAAAATACCTCCAAAAACTATATGTATTTTTTTCACTCAAATCCAAAAGAAATTTCTGTTTATTATACAGAATGTTTTTGTTTTAAAAACAGTATATATTTTTCAAACAAAAATTATATTATATTTTAAAATATTATATAATATTTTATAGATGTTAGTGATGAGAAAATGATCATAAATAAAAGCGACAAGTGAAGGTTAGCGATAATATTATCTTTTAAAAATTTTAAATACGTTCAATTTGAGTAACACTTTTGGAACAATTTTTTTTAATTTGTTTTAAGAATTTCCTCTTTTTCTTTTCAATTATTTTCAAACTCACAAAAAAAAATAACAATGGAATTTGATTTAAATACATTAGATGAAAGATTCGGATACCCAAAAAAAGTTGGATATGGATTACTATACACTCCAAAAAAAACACTTTTTAAAGTATTTTTCTAGAAAGTTTGACCATAAACCAAAGACTTGAATCATACGCAACTCAATTGGACTTTCAAGCAACCATAACCACTGAATTGGACTTGACAAATTAATAAATGTACTTTCTCAACATTTGTCAACATTTTTTATTTCAGAAAATAAATTTTCAGCAAAGGCTACCATTCATTATATGTACATTAAAGTCAAACTTGATGCTACCACTTGATATTATCTATTGTGGTGGCTTCGTAAATTTCAAGCGAATTATTACAAATGATTAACCTGCATAAATTACAGAGTGGTGCCCACGTCACTGCTTCTCTTAATCTCCAACCGTTCGTTTGATCTGATAGATTAATGAACGGACGAGATTGAAAGTATGAGTGAGATGAACGGTACTGGTGTCGTTGTGATGGTAGAACAGAGGAGAGGTTCTCAAGACGAATCCTTCCATTTGGCGACTACCTCCGCGAGGGCCTCGTGGGAAGTCCCACCTACGGCAGCGGCCGCTGTGGCTGCCACCTGGAGTTGCCTCACCCTTTCCCTCGCCGCCCGGCCTTCCTCCCCCTCCATCAACTCGGCCACCGCCGCCGAAATCTCCTCCCTCCGGACGACGCCGTCCTCCCCTGCTTTGACCCTCAGCGCCACCTTCAGCCTGTCCGCCAGCATCAGGGCGTTCATCGGCTGCTCCGCGTACAGCGGCCACGCGATCATGGGCACCCCGTGCACGGCGCTCTCCAACGTCGAGCTCCACCCGCAGTGTGTCAGGAAGCCCCCCACCGCCCGGTGGCTCAGGATCCGGACCTGCGGCGCCCAGAATGACACCACCAACCCCGTTCCCTTCGTCCTCTCCAAGAAGCATTCGGGCAAGTAGCTCTCCGGGTCAGCGTTGCTGCCTCCGGCGGCGCCCTCTTCTGCTGCTGGGCTTTTGACCACCCAGAGGAACCCATGGCCGCTCATCTCCATCCCGAGAGCCATCTCCTTGATCTGTTCGCGGCTCAACACTCCGAGGCTACCCAAAGAAACATACACCACGGACGCATCTGGTTGTTCGTCCAACCACTTCAAGCACAGCGACTCTTCCGGGCTCCAACTCGACCCCCCATTTTGCACGAGCGGCCCGATCAGGTGGATTGGCTGCTGGCCGGGCTTCTTCTCTTTCAACACCGCTGCCGTCTCCGGCTCCATCTCCTGGAAGCTGTTCACCAGAATCCCTTCGGCTTTCTCGTAACGCTTCAGATGGTACAACAGCCACATAAACTCTTCGGTCGTCCAGTCCTTCACCACGATCGGGAGGTCGGCCCAATGCATCGGGAGGCATCCTGGCAGCGTGACGGGGTCAGGAAGCCGCGGCATGGTCTCGTGGAGTGCGGGCAGGTGGAGGGACAAGGACAAGAGGAATAGGTTGGAGGCGAAGAAGATGAAGGGAGGAATGCCGAACTCGCTCGCGAGGTCGAAGGTGTCGGTGCCGAAGAGATCCGCGACGAACGCCACGAGGCGGGCAGTCCGTTTCAGCCCTGAGACGATGCGGCGGAGGGCGGGAAGCGATTCGACTATGGTGAGAGAGATTGTGGCGGTGATGTCCATGCCGTCGGGGACGTCAACGGGGGGGAGGGTGACGAAGGCGACGCCGGGCGGGAGAGAGTCAACGAAGACCCGGTGGACGGAGGAGGAGGCGAAGTCGGCGGTGGCGATGAGGGTGACGGAGAAGCCGTGATGGACGGCAAGGCGCCTCGCGAACTCGGCGAGCGGGATCAGGTGGCCCATGCCGGGGCTCGACAGCATGACTACGTGGGGCGAGAGATCGACACCTCCTTCCACTTCCGCTTCCACTTCGACCTCCATTGCTGCTGCTGGCTGTTGATGCTTCTCCAGGCTCTTCTCTTGGCTCGTCATCGTGGAGCCAACACCTCCGTTATTGTTGCGGTTATATGCACCGAATGGACCCAACAACTAAATTGCAATGCACTCAAGGCGTGCGCGCAACGCACGGTATCTCGAAGGAGACATCTATCTAATTAATTGGCACATTGCACTTTGTAGCTCATTCTATAAGATCATATTGTCTATAAGATCATATATATATATATATATATATATATAACGTCACAATTTGAAAATATTGATATTTTAAACATTGCAACTTGCAGCAGTTGTTTTTGACTAACTATCGGTTTTTTTATGTTGAAAAATGAGCCATAAAGATAACTATATGATCTATTATTATTATTATTATTATTATTATTATTATGTACTCGGTCAATAAGAGATGAGGATCAAATTTGACTTCGTCGAAGCTGATAAATGAAAAATTATATCTTCTTAACTATCAGTGACATCATTCGGAATAGAATTAGAGGTAGATGGGCATGTTATTATACTAGATGTTGAGGAAGATGATAATGTGAGGCGAGAGTTGTATTATATAATATATCTAAAAAAATATTATATATTTTTTCATATGAATCATAAAGAAATTTTTTCTCAGATCCACTGCAGAATACTCTAAAAATACTCAAAATATTTTTTTATACTTTTTTCCTCGTCACAATATTACCAATGTATTTATAGAACAAATCCTCACCCACCAATAACTATTCTTCCTACTTAGATCCTTAATCCAAATCCTAATCTTAATTCATGAATATTTTAGAATCTAATTAGACTTATCCAAATAATTTAAATATAAATATTTATAAATGTTGATCGTTCATGGTTAATGACGCTGGGCACATGCTTTGTTGTTTCTTGCACTGACTCATTTCTTTGGGCGGATAGAAACCATCACAAGCTAAATGATATACGTATCAGCTAAGCTTCTAATTCCTGAGATTACTGTATTCATGTTAGGCAAATTGAGATAAGATGCAGAAACAATTCGTCTTCACTCCAAAAGGACCAACCACATATGCTCTCAGAATCAACAGAGTACAACTCATTTTAAGCTCTACATAGTAGATAGGGAAAAGGTAGAAGAGATGGCAGAGGCGTTCAAGAAAGAGAAGAAGGGAGAAGAAGAGAAAAAGATGCTTGTTTGGGACTGTGGCAGCCCATTGCTTTGATTTGAGCTCTCTGCCACATCCTCGACAGGCATATCAGGGTGCTGCCCTTCTCCAGCAGCTCCCCAAACCTCCCAGATGAGCCTAAGGAGTTTCTGATTGGGAAGGGAGTGTTGGGGAATTGGTGGATGGAGAAGAAAGAGGCCAAGAAGAGGATCAAGGTGATGATGAAGGCCATGTACAGTTTCATTGCTTTCTGGAGAAACTTGTGAGAGCCATCTCTCTTCCAAGTTATGTCTTTCTTTCTTTCCTTGGTTTGCATGTTGGATAAGAGTTGCATGACATTGAATTATTTTCCTTTTGGATGTTTAAAGCTACATTTGTTGAAGATTTGATATATAAATAAATAAATAAATATATATATATATATATATATATATATATATATATATATATATATATATATGCTACAAAGTGGATAATAAGCTTTAAATTACATCCAAAAAAACATGGATCTTCTTATCAATTGTTTCCTCTCATGATTGAACCAGTAAAAGTTAACCTTTCCAGTGCCATTACAGCTCAAATCATGATCTTTTCAGGTGTCATGATATATTGTACTAGCTCAAGATAGTACAAATATGACTGTATCTCTTTTTTAAAAAGAATTTTTTTCATGTTCAAGACATAAATTTCTCCTCCAAAATAGAAAATAGATGAATGAAAAGAATAGTTATGAGTGAAGAAAAAAATATATTGAGAATAATAGTAATGGTATTTAATTTTTTCAAACGGTGATCAAATGAACGAGTACAACATCAGAAATAGTACACAGATCAAATGGACGATAGAAAACACGGAACATCGACAACAGCCACCCAAAATCCAATAAGTATTAGCTTATTATTATTCGCGATGGTCGGACGGAACCATCGTCACCGTCAAAGACTCATCGGCAAGTATTTGATGAGGACCGCAGTCAACGACTAGTCCACCTTGACTCAGCGGCCACGCACCTCGCCTTTCAACTGCCCCACCAGCTTCGCCAGCGCCGAATGCGACGAGCCCCCTTCTCTGAGCGCCTCCACCGCTCTCTCCTTCATCGTCGCCATCCTTTCCCTCAGGTTCCGGCAAGCCACCGACTCCATCAGCCAGCGAACCTTGGCCTCCACCTCCTCTGCTGACACCAGTTCCCCCTCATATCCGTCCATCGCCACCGCCAGTCGCATCTCCTCCGTCAGGAACACCTTGTTCATCTTCTGCTCTGCGTACAGTGGCCACCCCACCATCGGCACCTCGGCGACGATCGCCTCCAGCACCGAGTTCCACCCGCAGTGGGTCACGAACCCCCCCACCGAATCGTGGCTCAGCACCTCAACCTGCGGAGCCCATGACTTCACCACCAGACCCCTCTCCCTTGTCCGCTCCAGGAAACCTTCCGGCAGTAGCGCGTCCAGGTCCGGCTCCGGCGGCCGCTCGTAACGCTTCGCCGGGTCGTTACTCGGCGGGCTCCGCACCACCCACAGGAACCTCTGCCTGCTTCGCTCGAGCCCCGCGGCGATCTCCTTCAGCTGCGCGGCTGTGAACAAGCCCAGGCTACCGAAGCAAAGGAAGACCACGCTGTCTCGGGGCTGAGCGTCGAGCCACTCGAAGCACTCCGCCCTGTTGGCCTTCTCCCTCCCGTCCGACGTGATCAGAGGTCCGATGGAGTAGATGGGAGGAGTCGCCCGTCCGTCCGTGACGCAGCGGCCAGCGGCGATGGCTTCGAGCGCCCGCGGCTCGAGCGCGTCGAACGTGTTGACGATGATGCCGTGGGCGTCCGGAAAGCGGGAGCAGACGTCGAGTGACCCCTTGTAGGCCTCGTCCTCGCGGTCCAGCATTGGGAGCGGCATGTGGTCAGCGGGCAATGGCGGGATCCCGGGGACCAGCAGCGGGGCGCTGCCGAGCTCCCTGAAGCTCTTGACTGTGGTGGAGTGCAACGTCTGGATGTAGAAGAAAGTGGCGAGGACGCTAGCGCCGGAGGTAAAGAAGGTGTAGCAGGGGATGCAGAGCTCAGCTGCGACGTCGAGGGCCAAGCTGCAGAACATGTCGACGACGATGGCTCTGGGGGCGGCGTCGCGGAGGAGGTTGAGGAGATTTGCGTTGGAGAGGCGGAGGAGGTCGAAGGCGAGGGCCTCTTGGTGGGGGGAGGGGTTGGGGGGGAGGGCGACGGGGGGGAGGCGGTGGAAGGTGATGGAGGGATTGGCGGCGGAGGCGCGGGCAACGAAGGCCGCGGTGGAGCCGGTGTTGTAAGGTGGGTCGACGGTGACGACGGCGACGGCCATTCCGTGGAGGACGAAGAGCTTTCCGAGCTCCATCATGGACACCAGGTGGCCCATCCCCGGCGACGGGTACAGCACCACTCCTCCCCGCTTCCTCTCTTCCGCAGGAAACATGTCCTCTCTCTCTCTCTCTCTCTCTCTCTGGTCCGAAGCGACATCTTCGAATTATATAAGGCCACTTTTATAGCACAGGGTGGCGACACCGACCGCAGTGGTAAATACTGCGTTGGAGTGCAGAGGTAAATACTGCTACTTGATTTGAAGTCGATCACACCCACATCATTCAATCACCTATCAGTCAACACGTGGCCACGTCAGCGAAGATGTCATCGAGTTCGTCTGATGACAACGAAAATTGGAAGAAACATTGACCGAAGATATATATTAATTGGTTGATCGAAGAATGATTTGGATCTCGAAGTTTCTAGATGTTGGGTGGATATATATTGTGGTGGGGGCGAAGATAAATATTACTTGGTTGATGGAAGAATGATTTAGATCTCAAAGTTTCTAGATGTTGCGTAGGTAGATTTGTCTCTTTAACTTGGAAGCGAGATACAAGGTTAGTCAACACGTGATTGCCATATAAGATCTAAATCATCCTTGATAAAAATCTAAGGAAACATAAAAAATATAATCATAAATTTTGTTATTATTTTTAACGATAAAGACAATCTAAAACTTATTTTTTTTATGACAAGGAAGATAATTATAAACTTTATTCTTATCTTTAAGGTATAAAATATATTTTTTAAATAATAAAAAAAAGGCTCTCGCTCTTTCCTTTTTGAAACTATTCTAACCCATATCTAGGAATCTCGAATTACTAACTTATACATTGGAGAGATCAAGTTGAAAAATATCTTTCGATCTAGTCTTCGTGTATGTGATATCTCGAAAATATAATATTTTTTTATCTCGAGAGCATATAATTTCCACATTGGAGGGAGCACAATATTTTTACCTCAGAAATATCTCGAACATTCCGGTATATATGAGTCTGAACCACATCGGGTTCATAAAGATATTAACAATATTTTCTACTAACACTCGTTAAAGTCTTTTAAGATTATGCCCTATCCCTTTTTAATATAAGATATATGGATTGATCAATCAAATTATAAAAACTCAACTATATCAATCAAACTATTTAAAATTAACATAATGATGTGGACCAATTCAATAATTTAAATATAAAAAATAAGTTTATTAAAATTATATATTAAACTCAATATATGCCATTTGATTCTTTCGATCATTAACAATATGAAACTATTCTTTTGATCCTCCTTCCACTTTCATATCTTACATAAAAATTCTCCTAACAATGATGAAGATAAAACCAGTCACTAAACGGAAATCCCTAAATTGACAGCAACACGATAGCTAAACATAGCTAAGTCGAATCATATACAAATGCGAGATGATGATGACGAGCCCTTTTACCTTCCAACAAATATTACTTTCAATCTTATGACACATGATATCATGTGCTTTAGATCAATTCTTTGCACCTTAGATCTTTATTAACAAAACAATTTTTTTATACTTTAGATTGTTTGTTGTCTCCCACTCCATATAAAAAGACATATTGCAAAACGCAAGTTAGTATAGATTAAGGGAATCCATTTGCATGTTCCTCTGATTCATTTGGAAGCTAAAGCATATGCGCGATTGGTTTGTGTATATCCTATTTGTTTTCAATCGCATAATCATCTTATTTTCCAACATTCTTCCCATAAACTCTCATTTTTCCTTCAAAACCTTGTGCATCTTAACGAAATGACAATTGACTTCACCTAATCATGAATCGGCCATCCAACTCCGTTCACTTTATCCTTTGTTTTCGTCTAATTTGAAAAATAATATTAATTTTTTTCTTTGTAAAAATAAATCTATTCGTCTGATTTATTTCTTTCTAAAAAATAAATATTAATTATTTCCTAAAAATATTAATTATCCATCATCCTTCCAAATTTATTTTGCTTTCTAAAAATAAATATTATATTAAGTTCATTCTACTCCGTTCATAAACATTAGATATTTTATTTCGAAATTCTATTTATTTATCGAGAAATACATATAAATTATATTTTTCTTAATAATTAATAATAAATATTAAGTATTTGAAAATTGTTTTCTAAATCCATGACACTAATAACATTATTAATCATTCGATTTTACAACGGCAATAAAACGTTGTTCAAGAGATTATCATTGTGTTCGTTCATTCATCATTAATTATATTTGTAATATAAATTTTATCAAAATTATGAATATATTTAATTAATAGATATATTGTAAGGATACCATACGATTTAGATAAAAGAATATATTTATTGACAATATTCGAATGAGTTAATATGAAGCTTCCACCCCGTCGCGTCCGGCACCGACCCCTTTTGCATGGGATCTCTCGACGTGCCCATCGTGGTTGGTGTCCTCCTCAGGCGGCGCACCCCGCGATCCGGATTTGCCCGCACGCAAACTCTCTCTCTCTCTCTCCTTCCTTCTATATATATGTAGACGAGCCAAAGAAGGCTCACCTCGCCTCGTCGTCATAGGCTTCTCCTTCGGTGTGTGTCGAAATCCTTGCGAGGAGCGATGTCGAATTTGATAGACAAGGCGAAGGAGTTCGTGGCCGAGAAGATAGCGAAGATGCCGAAGCCGGAGGCCTCCCTCGAGAGCGTGTCCATAAAGAGCTTCACCCGCGACTCCATCCTGTTCCACAGCGAAGTCGCCGTCCTCAACCCGTACTCCCACTCCATCCCCATCTGCCAGCTCTCCTACGCCCTCAAGAGCGCCGGCAGGTTGCCGTCTCTTCCTTCCTTTCTTAATCTATCTTCCGCCAACCTTTGGCTTTTCTTCTTCACGATGATGGTGGATCTTTGTAGGGAGGTGGCGTCGGGGACGATGCCGGACCCGGGGTCGCTGACGGCGAGCGCGGAGACGAAGCTGGAGGTCTCGCTGAAGGTCCCCTACGACTTCTTGATAAGCTTGATGAGAGACATCGGCCGCGACTGGGACATCGACTATGAGATGCAGGTGGGGTTGACCATCGACCTCCCTATCATCGGCGACTTCACCATCCCGCTCTCCACCAAGGGCGAGATCAAGCTGCCCACCCTCTCTGATCTCTTCTGCGGCGGCGGCGGCGGAGATGATTAAGCAAGCTTCCATCTTTTGTGTGTTCCATTTGGTCAATGAGATTAAGAAAATGGAAGTCAACGCTAAAAATGTGTTGTTTTTAGGTCACTTGTATCCGATATGAATCGGATGGTGAAAGACTATATTTATAATTCATGTTATTTCAGCGTATTTTGAATGAATATTAAATTCGAATCTGATTTGGATGAAATATTTTGATATTTTATCAATCAATTAACTTGATTTCATCAATCAACCGATTTGTGCTCTGCGTGACTTGAAAAAAATCGAATTTTTCATTATATAAGAAAAATAAAATATAAATAATCATTCTCTTTTGAACTAATCCAAAATAAAGTCTCAAAAATCATTATATATTTTTTCAGATAAATCATGAAGGTTTTTTCTCTCAATCTTCTTTAGATCTACTGCAGAAAACTCCAAGAATACATTAATTATTTGTTTTACTTTTTTACTCTCATCACAATATTGAGAATGTATTAATTAGAGCAAATCCTAATTCATCAATAACCATTCACCCAACTTAGATTCTTAATCCAAATCTTAATCTTAATTCACCCAGATTCATTACAACTTATCCAAGTAATTTAAATCTAATTATTTATAAATGTTGATCATTTATGCTTAATGATGCTGGGCTCATCTTTCTTGCACCGACTCATTTCTTTGGGAGATAGAAACTGTCTCAATATGGAGTTTATATACATGATAAAAGATGTATGTAAATCACCTGCAAGATTCTAATTACGGAGATTAGGATATTCAAGTCGAGCAACCAATTAAAAAATTAATACGATTGAGTGAAGATATAGAAGCAATTTGTCTTTGCTCCTTACTATAGAATCATCCGATTTAACCTCATATACTCTCAGAACCATCATAGTTGATATGGACGATTTTGCTCCATGTAAGCTCATATGCTCATCGAGGTCGTTATCTAAGCAGGACTCCACATTCTCACATTACCTTATCAACATCAGAAAATGATCATGTAGTTCACCTAATATTATCTCAAACTAATTAGTAAGAAGGTTCTGGGATCAAGTATAAAAAGAATCCATCGGCACACGCTAATAATATTAGTTTACACTACACATTAACCTAATCGCGTTAGTGTGTACTATGGGGGGGGGAACTCTCGACATACTAACCTAACCGCATAGTTTACATTACTGTCTTCTCCTTTTTATTGACTTAAACATCAAAGGGGCACGTCGGGTAACTACTAGGGTCATCCTGTCATGCAAGATCATCGGCTATCAAGAGGCGACCTTGTTGTTAGGACGTAACCATATAACATGAGACAAACCATCTCTCGGGGACATTCGAACGATCTGATCTCGAAAGAAAACTTTACATCCAGAAATATCATAAACTGTCTACCCAATCATCACGAACCAGGTCCTCGTCGATAAGACCGTTTCGGATCGAATTGTCTATTCGATCCTACCTTTGCAAATCTCTCACGTCAATCAGATATCGCGGCGACTCAATCAGTCGACCAAAAGAGGACAATTCGTTTTGAGCTATACATAAAGAGAGAAAAAGTAAAGAAAAGCAGTAGTCATGGTGCTTGTTTGGGACTGTAGAAGAGAATGACAGAGAAAAAGAGAAAAGGATGCTTGTTTGGGACTGTGGAAGCCCATTGTATTGTATGACTCCTTTGAGCTGAGCTCCCTTTGCCACATCCTTGACAGGCATGTCATGGTGCTACCCTTCTCCAGCAGCTCCCAAATCTCTCAGACGAGCCTAAGGAGTTCAGCTCAAAGGGTGGATGGAGAAGAAGGCCAAGAAGAAGATCGAGATGGTGATGAAGACCATGTACAGTGCCATTGCTTTATGGAGAAACTTGTGAGTGTCATCTCTCTTCCATGTTTTGTCACTCTTTCTTTCATTTGGTTTGCATGTTGGATAAGAGTTGCATGACATTAAATTATTTCCCTTTTGGCTGTTTAGAGCCACATTTGTTGAAGATTCGACATAAAGATGTCGATTTATACATACGCTACAAAGTGGATAATATGCTTTAAATGACATCCAAAAAACATGGATTCTCTTTCCGATTGTTTGCTCTCATGATGGAATCAGTCAAAACTTACGAAGAACAGAAAACCTTTCCTATGCCATTGCAGCTCAAAATGTACCCTTTCCAGGCATTATGATACATCTTTTCTGCTCCATTGAAACTTAAGACAGCACAATATATGACTCACTTCTTAGAAATATATTAGGTTGGGTCTGAATGATTCACGATTGGGCGTGTCAAGTTTCTAATTATAATAGCTTAGGTGGTTGGATTAAGATTTACTATAATTATAATGGTTCTTGGAACGGTACCAATACGCTTTTCTAGGGATCAGAAGCGCGAAGGCTGAGGAGATGCGATCAGAACCGTCAGATCGAACGGTGGACGGTGTTTCGTTTCTGATGTCGCCGTTTCTTCTTTGGCATAGCATGAACGATGGGTAATCGGCTGTTGCCTCCACGGCAGCAGACACCCAGTACGGGTGTAATGTGCCGAGCGCGGCACTGGGTCTAACTTTTGGTCAAGAATCATGGTCCATTGATTGTGTATGGAATAATTGCACGCTGTCTGAATACCGACAGGTTCCGCAACTTCATACGAAGGACCACAACTTCAGAACCGGTACACAGATCAAATGGACAACAGTAAACACGGAACAACGACAACAGCCACCCAAAATCCAATAACTATTACCACATTATTATTCGCTGCCGGTAGGACTGAACCCATTGTCACCGTCAAAGACAACGACAAGTATTTGACGACGACCGAGGTCCGCCTTTACTCAACTGCCACACGCCTCGTCTTTCAACTGGCCCACCAACTTCGCCAGCGCCGAATGCGACGAGCCGCCTTCTCTGAGCGCCTCCGCCGCTCTCTCCTTCATTGCC